AGTTAATTTTTCAATATAATGATTAATATAAACAGATATACCATGCAGCATGACTTAAGCTACTATATAAGAAAAACAAAAGTCACGTATATCCCATGCAGTTTTTTCCAGAAGCAACTTTTCTAACGCTTACAGAAAAGCCCCATTGGCCAGTACTAAATACAACCTCTACATAAAATGGCAGTTACTATAATAAGCACCACCCACATTCATATTGTAAAATCCAGAGAACAGCATTTCATCACGTGCTTTCCTTATCATCCTATGATTTGTCAAGTGGGAGATACAGCAATTGGAATAATTGGTACTGAAATTGACACTTTCGACTAGGATTGGCTAAAAGTTTTACAACTGAGGTTAACACGCCCAGACGCAGTTTTATAAAGAAAACAGACTAGAAAAAGGTTTAGATACCAATCATAGATGGCAGAACCAGTGCTGAGGTGAAAGGAAATATCTTAAAAAATTTTTGAAAAAAACACTTCTTCTTAGAGGGCGCTTATTTACAGTCTAAAACGTATCTTAGGAATTTTTCATTAAATTACTCTTTAAACTTCATTAAAGAATACAACTTTTTACAAATAATTGAATGTTATGCTACTATTTATAAAAATAAAATCACAAATCCATTAAAAGATAAGTTATCTATCATTTTTTCAATTCATAAATGCACACTTGCATTGCCTACTAAGAAAGTTTGTACCGGTAGTCATCGGGTTAAATGTGACAAAACAATGAAACACTCATTATTTCTATAACCTCCCTACCTTTTCTCAGAAGAGCAGGGCAGTCATAGGCTATGCATTCGAGAACTTCTGCTGCAGGTTTGTTTGCATACTGCGAGGAAATCGGGAACAGCTCTTGCTACAAGATTTACATACACATCAACATAACACATAAAATACAGGATATTTAGTCTAATAAACAAACAAACTGAGATGCATTAGAAAGATGTAAGTTCAGAAAAGAAAAATACTAAAAGTGTAGTACTTTTCTACACATATCTGTTTTTAAAGTTATATTTTTTTAATAAAATCACTATACTAACACCTTATTTCCTTAAAAAAGCTGGTGATAATTAATCCAAAATAGAAATTTTGGAATAAAATCTAGATTTTCTATTCTTGAAAATTTTCCATTATCAGTGAATGTTTTAGCTTGCATTTGAATAAAATATGATAAAAAAATGTTTCATATTCTATTTTTATACAGAATCAGGAACAAATAAATAAAACAATTATACATGATCTAACAATTATTTCCATACACAAAGATTAATTCCTAAACATGATTTAACTAATGTGAAAAGACAAAAACTGGAATGGAAGTAATTGAAACTGCAAAATGATGCATTAGCACAAAAAAAAAGGCTCGATTTTCTACTTCCTAATTTAATTTTCATACTTTATAGTGAGGTACAAGTAAATTGTTCTATGAAATTTTTATGGAACTCTGAGTAGGGTGTTATCAATTTCTTCATATATTCAATAGACTGCAAACTGACTGTTAAGCATAATTTGGCAATTTTTTGGATTTTTAAAATACTGCCTTCTAGCAGCAACATATATTTCAGTTTTTCATATATTATTTAATTAACATCTTGAAAAATATACTAATAATTAATACTACAATTCTTACAAAAACTTGGAAGACCTTACCAAGCTTATCATTTCAAATCTGAAGTATATTCAAAGTATATTCAACTCACAAAATAAGATATAATACTAAGCACACAATTTTTTTTTCAATATCAGAACCTTAAATTGCAAACTTGCTCATCAGGCTTTCTATATGGTGATTTTCGCATGCACACACACACACAAAAACAATTTAGAAAAATACTCAATAATTGACAAACCTCGTCAGCTCGAAGATTAAGAAATTGAAATATAACGTTGTGGTGGCGATCTTCAGCCAGTTCTCTCGTCAGAACATCACAAACTTTAAATGGCTCAGTTTTTGCTGTTGTTTGAGTCTCACACTGAGTTAAAAAATAGAATTTATATTTAAATATAGATGCTTTGAAGATTGCATCATGCCTGGAAATGCTCAAAGATAACATAGTACTGGTAGAAAGATAGTATAATACTGGCAGGTAGACTTGAAAACAAAAACATTAGAATGCAGTAATCTCTTCTACCACACACAACAAAATTTTAAGAACAAAAAATACCGATGATGCAAATTGAGTTGAAAGTTTATTTAGTCAATATTTAATATTACAAGTTAATATCAAAAAATAAGAATTATTATTATGTATGTTCATAGGGAAAGTTTATTATTTTGAGAATAAAATCCACACGTTAGTATCATACAGAATTATAAAAGTTACTTCATGACCATTTCCAAGGGCCAAGTTATCAATTCAAACATAATAATTCATCCTTTACCAAACCACTCAATGCAAGTTTCCCCATAAACTGTCAACAATGGTTTTCCTAAAATATGTAATTTTAAGGATTTCATGCACAAGAATACTAGAGATAGAGTACTGAAAAAAAGGGGAGAAGTAGCTTTATATGTGAGGAGTGAATAACTTTTCTCTGATCCCTTGTCTTATTGTTTTCACTGCTAAACACAAAAAGACAAGGGATCATATATTCAAATTTTGGTAGCATACGAGTCATCCGCAGTTTAGACAGTATTACTTTTTTAAAAAGGTGGTTGGCTTTTGGAATGAGCTGTCTTCAAGGATGGTGGAGGCAGAAAATTTAACTGAGTTCAAGAAAAGATTGGATGAATACATGAGTAGTAAGGGGTGGTTATAGTTAGGAGCTAGAAGGGAAATCTTTGATGAGCTAATAAGCTCCTTTTTGTCCCTTTAAAATTTTATTCATTTATGAATAGAAAAACTAATAGAAGGTAAAAGAATCAAAATGTGCTTACAGCTCTACTATAGAAGTTTGGTGGTGCTACACCTACATCACCAGGAAGGGGTGTACGGAAGTCTTTAGGCTCCACTAAACTAATCTCCCTGTCAGGAATTTGTTTTTCTGTTAATACAAAACACTGTATAAAGTATAAATAACCATTTTAGTATAAGTGACATATACCACGAACATAAAACCATTTTTTGCTGTTGTGAATTTACAATTAAACAATCCTCATCAACTTTTCAAGCCCACTCACCTGTGCGTGTTTGTTTATCAGCCAGTGATGGAAAAAAAGCTGACTTTGATGATATTTTGGAGGAGAAAATCCTTGCATTTTGACAAAAGCACTTTAAGCTACTGCCATAAACTATCACTTGAGGAATTTTCAACATCTACAGAAATGAAAAGATCGGGTATTTCCAAAATAAAACAATGTTCTAATTAACAAGGTTTATAAACTAAACAATGATTTTGACCAAGTTGGCAAGACTGTTCAATGGAAAATTTCAAGCAGTTCATTAGACAGTGTGGTAGGTACATGTCCAAATTATCAATAACTTCTGAACAAAACACACTACCTACATAGGTTACAAAATAACAATTAAAATAGTAAATGAAATTTAATATATTATACAAACTTTGGATGTTTAATATTATTGTTCAATGATTATAATGCACTGAACTTACCTAATTTTTTTTGGCCACAATACCAATATCTCACAAGGTTCATCTAGCTGGGAATTTTAGGTTACTCCTAAATCCATATAATAATTGTTGAAATAAAAAATATATACAACAGATAAATGAAAAATAAAAAAATTAATTAGATACACTAAACTAACAGAATGGGATGTAACTTTATTTACAAAAGCTAGTGGTTTAATTCATGCACTATCAATGATTTCCTGTCTCTTGAAAAGAAGGGAACATTATATACGAAATTTTATATAATTATCTCTGAGAATGTTAATACCAAGAAAAGCTCATTTACTGGCACTGAAAATGTAACTTGAGGTTAGTTTAATATCTGAAATACATTGTTACTATATTTGCTATTGTTTAGATATAGTTGGATATAAAAGATACCAAACTTCAGTGAAACTATTCGACAAAACTCCATTTTCTTAATGCATATAGTTCACTTCCTACATGTTCAGTAGAGCTAAGCAATTAATGTAATTTGCTTATTGATTAGCCACTGGGCTCATTAATACATTATTCTCACAAAATGGCTACAAAGAAATTAAATGCTAAAGATTGAATTTGATACCCTTGGTGGGCATAGCACATACGGCCGATTGTGTTTAACAACAAACATGTATAATAGCAACATTTTGATCACTTGGATAATTGAAATAACCAAAAGTAGCAATAACTGGAAAACCTACTTTTAGTTAGTCATTTTTGTTAGTTGTGAAACTGAACAAACTGAAATTAATTGGAAACAATAAGGAAAAATATTCATAATGGCAATATTTCAATTACTATATAATTGGTACAACCAAAAACAATTATAACTAGAAACAATTAGTTTTTTATTTTCATGGCACTAATTGATTTAACCATTTCTCTACAGGCTCCACAGTCAAGTTACCAAGTGACTGGTACATGTTTATGTTCTAAGATGCACATTTCCAAGATATATGAATTTCTGTTTGGACAACAAACTTAAAGAAAGAAAAAAAGACCTAGGAGTTATGCTTTTCAGAGCAAAAAGTTGACCTCACACAGTATATTGGTGTTAAAGAATATGTTAATATCTTCTCACTGTGAGGTATTACTTTCCATGGATGAATAAACTGTTTATATTGTAGAAGCCAAGCAATAAAATCACACACAACTAAGGTAAAAAAAAAAGAGACTTGAAAAAGGTTAATAGTTGATGCTGCAAATATCATTATTTGAAGATGTAGAGAGATTAGTCATTTTATTTCATAATTTTCCACTTTTCATTTTGCTGTAAACTAATGATTTTATTACTAATAGTGTTATGGTAGAGAAAATTAGATATACAAAGCTGTACCAAAAAAATTTTGAAATTCAGCTGTAGACTATGAAAATTGCACGATGAAATAAGGACTACATTCTTAGACTGAAAATTGCCTTTCACTCATACTGACTCAATAAAGGTATCAGACAAATCTTCAGCAACAATACTTCATTAAAAAATCAATTTTTTTACTAAAAGCTTGCCAAATTCCATAAAGATACATTTAGTACATTCACAGTTATAGTATGTTTAGTTTCATGGATATATGATAAGTGTAACTGACTGAGATGTGGCAGACCCATACAGAAAAAGTTAATCATACATACAGTTATTAGATAGTTTTAATAATCATAAACAGTAAAAATCAAAAACATTAAATTTGATTAGTTGATTATTTTCAAGACATTAGTTGATGTAACTGTAAGTTCAATTACTGAAAAGTTAAAATAATCGAAAACAGCAGTAATCAGATATACCTGTTAACTATTTTCATGACATCAGTTGACCGAATCATAAATTCAATTAACCAAATATTTTATGTAATACTAATCAGTGTAATCGATCAATCAAGGTAATCACTCGGGTCTTGGGTATTTCACTATTGTCTGTATTGAGATATTTGTAAACAACAGTCACCATGTTACAAAACCAGATCATTATAATGTCTTGATAAAACCCTTATGTCTGTAAAAAAAAAATATTTAGTCTTGCTAGAAGAAAAAAAAAATTGTTGAATTTACAATAATTTTAAATCAATCTGCCATAAAGTTATTATAACATTGTATAAGACTACAGAGATGCCTCATTTGAAGTACTGTTTGTGTCAGTTTATGTTTGTTTCAGTTTCCTTATTACAAAAGAGATATCAACATGCTGGAAAAATTAATACTGACTACTAGAATTATACCTGGTTTAAGTAGTTTATGTTATAAGAATTTTTTAAATATTCAAACTTATTTTTCTAAAGCACAGAATTAGACTGACAAAACTGCTGGAGGTGTAGATAGTCTTTATTAGGGTGTCCAAGTTGTGATATGAAAAAGATGTAAATACAAACTAGAATACTTGGTAATAGACTTGAGCTATGGAAGCTAGATATAGACTTGTGTAAGAGAAAATATTTTTGGTTTGTTATAAACTTATGGAATGGTTTGAGTGATGTTAGTGCTGTTATTTTTAATTATTTTAAATTTTGTTGGATAGATATACAAAAATGAGGAGCTCCATTTAATTTGCCTTAAACATTAAACAAAATATTTTAAATATTTGTTCTTAAATAATGGTTTACCTTGATGAACAAATATAATTTTGTCATTTTTGCATTTTTTAAGATTTGTTTTCCAAATGCCAAAAAAATGTTCCAATATCAATCAGGTAAAAAAACTTCGGACGAGGATGACCAGCATTCCCATAAAAAGCAGGAAGTACCCTTTCACCAGATCTCTGTCCCATGTCCAATTTAATATTAAATTGGAAAAACTCTTGCCCCATTTTTTCATTTAAAATTGTCCTTTTTCATAATCATTACAAATTTCTGAAACATAACTAGCCTATGTAAACAGCATAATAAAGTACTACATCAAATGTTTCTTCAAACAAAATAAGAATAATTTAAAAAAATTTAAAACTTCATCCAAGTAGAATAAGCATAATCAATATTCTTAATAACTTCTGAAGATAGTACCATTGTTTCAATTCCAATTAAAAAACATCACAATTAGCTGTGAACCTCAAGTGTACACACACACACTCTTTCAGGTCCCAAACTCCTATCATCTCATTTTCTTATTCACACACTGGTTACTTTTCTTTACACTCTCTATTAAACATTCTAAATAAGAAAATTTCATAAATTCAGAGCCTGAATTTTGGAATAATCTGTTTACTGTCAGACTACTAACAAGTGCCTAGTGTGACAATTTTGGATGATACTAGAACATCAATATTAGCCTCAACTAGCACAGCACAATAAAAAAAAGATTTTGTGGGTTCTTGAATACTATTTAAAAATTATACAAGACACATTTTGCATAGATTGGAATAATGATAATTAAATTACACATTACAATAACTATCTCATTAGTAATAAGCACCTGTAATCTACATGGTATATTCTTTTAACAGTTACACAGTTGCATTACTCCCACTACTTTCTATATAACACCTTAATTAATTATTCATATGTTGCAGCTCAGCACATGTAGATGTTGTATGTTTAAAAGTTCACGCATTTCTTCAAAAATCAATCAATTACAAATACTCTGTACATTATACAGAGTTTAGTTTAATGTGACATGATTGACTCTTACAACTTCAGAGTTTATCATGTAAAAGTGGTTTAAGCTTTGAAAGAAAAGATTGCACGTGATGTATACAGTAAGTTGTTACTGTTATGGATATAGGACAACTCAGCACCTGAATGTTTTGGCCCTCACTTGAAAAAAATCAATTTGGCTTTGAAAGTTGGACAATTTAATACTTCCTTTGGATGTCTCAACCTAAGATTTTTGATTGGTTTAACACTACTATTTTGATTGGTTGAATAAAATGTTATAGGTTTTGTTTGAGCTTCAAAAATTAGGTAAATTAATAATTGATTGTTATAAGGATTAGAGTAGAATCACATTTTTTTAATGATTTGTATTTGATATAAATAAAAGGAATACATGTATTCAAACCATATATTTTAAATACCATAATACTAATAGGAATGTCTGAAGGGTCACCCATATACTTGTGACTATATTAACAAAAATGGTCAGTATATACATATCCATAAAAAAACAGAAATAATGTATATTATCTTTGAAGTCTAATGTAGGCACTGAATTGTCTAATGCTGGTACTGTAGTGTCTAGGTGCCAAAGTGTCCAGTATTCCTTGTTACTAACATGGGTGTAGTGTGTTATGCAACTTATTTACAATTAAGTAATAATAATAATATGTAATGGATGATTATTTGCCAAGAGACCACCTCTGAAACCGAAAGAAACAAATTCATAATCACAGACTGTACTACTACTACCAGTTATAGTAATAATAATCACTAATAATATACAACCACAGAAAAAATATAAATGTTGTTAAACTTATATTTACTTCAAGTTCAACTGTTAAAGGAGGACTAAACTAAAGACAGCGTTACTACAACATTAATACTTTATAGACAATAATTTATAATGTAGTATTACTAATAATAATATATCGTAATTCTTAAACCAGTTGTACTCGTAGTAGTAGTACTACTACTACTACATCGAAGACTAATGACGAAACAGTACTCAACTAACATGTATCCAACCATGTATTAATAATTATACTAATACAAAAAAATCACAGTTTGAAAATAATATATACATGACTTTCGAGACAAGTTATATTCTTAAAATAGTAATAAAAGAACAATGTAATCTCACCTAGCGTTCATAGAATTACAAGTTACAACTTTGTTACTTATTTATACAACACTAAAAATGACTATTAATATTTATTAGCGCTACCTGTTGGTGTTTTGTTTATTCGTGAGTTTTAGTGAAAGAAAAGTTATGTAGAGGTCTAAACTACAACTTTGATTCGAAAATATTTTAGGTTATTAGTGGTGAATAAAGGACTATTCATCTAAACGAAACAAAGAGGTGTTTGTTGATGTTTTTTGTTATTGTTGTTGCTTTTACGTTAGTTACAACACAATAATGTGTTATGTAGACTCACAGTGGTTCTCAAACGTTTTTATTTACAGACTACCTAATTTTTTTTAAATCTCGGCGGATAACATTGGATTCTATATCCTATGCTGCCGCTTCCTTTCCATAATTGTGCAATTTTCCCTTGGAACGCCTGATGGAAGCTACACATTACAAATGGTTCGCATACTACAAACTAAAAGTGAAAGCCGCTGGGATGTTGTGATTTTAAATAGATTATTGTTATTGTTGTAACGTTGTTCTTTCGTTGTTCTGGCTCTTTTAAACCATTTGGTGAAACCAATTCAAGGTATAGTCAATGTAAGTATAAAAAATTAGTTTAGTTCTTCCTTAAAATACTTTCAAACAAAAATACCTTGTTAAAACTGGAATGGAACTACAACTAACGTAAAAGTAAATTTACTTGAACAATTTCACGAAAAATGATTGGGTAACCGAATATTCACGATAACTAGCACTGATCCAAGTACTTCCCTCAATCTAAATACCTCATTGAATGATCGACACTGTACTGACTGGAAACAGCTAAGTCAATATTTCACTATTTATAACTTAATATTGTTTTTAGATACTTCGTAAAATTCCTAGATTTCGTGATGTCATAAAGAACATTCTGGGACTCCTACTCCAACAAAGCTACTTAATCTTAACGTCATACGCCCTCTAGCTTAAATAATAATTAAAATATTAAAACTATAGCTTATAACAGTATATTGCTATGCGAAAACATACACTAAAATTAAAGCATATAATTTGCAGCACTTCTTTGATATGTTGTTTATTTACAACCTAATTGAACTTTAAGAAGTACACTTTAATTAATACTATTTTGATATGACCACTAAAACTAAAATATTCAATTTACATCACTTACTTGTTAGTTTAAGTTTATTTAAAATTTAAACTAACATTAACTACGATCGACAACACAATTTATGAAGTTAACCGACGCGACCTCTATCCTTCTAAACCAATAGCCTAACAATGGGATAGAGAGTAAATGCTCGTGATAATTAGATTTCGCGCCAAACCAAAGGTAGTAGGCTGTTAGTGGTGTTTATTTTTTATGTTATGATTTTAAAGAAAACTGAGAGTGTGTAACTTATGTTAACAGAGGTGTTTATTGTAGAATTCATGACGTTAGGTAAGTTTTTTTACTCATTATATATAAGGATGTTTACTAACTTAGTGCATATTATTATATACGTATAATTTTATATATCGTGCATAACTTAGTTAAACTTTAGTTAAAATATTAACACACCCTGCTACTTCTCATAGCAGTATTACTATAAATATTATTATTATTAGGACTATGTTAGTATGTAGTAATTTTGTACTTAACAATTTTACTAAAAGTAAAACGTAACCATGTGATGGTACTTAACTATGATATCTGTTTTATTTACGCTACTCAGAGTACTGAGTACAGAGTTGTAATCGTTACGATGTTACTGTGGTTGTTACTCTACTCACAGACTGCTGTGTACGGGTGAGGGTCAAAATGTGTTTATTCACCATGGTATTAATAATAATATGTATTTGAAGTTAAAAGTTATCAACTACTAATTTTACCTTGAGGCTTAACATTGCTGATTAGGGAACGTTTTGGGTTGAAACTTGAAAGACCCCCCTGCACATTCGGGGATATTTATGCCACTATTTTTTTTTCAGTAGTGTTAAGACTAACATTACAAAATTTATGAAACTTGGGTTAAGCCAATTTTTCCTCTATTCTCACATCTATGTGCAAAATTAAGATTGGATTACATTAAACTTTCTTCAAAGTCATTACTGGCAAGACTTTTTTTTTTTTGAGATAATGTTACCTTCTAAGTTCTATACAATATATTATATGTAATATGCATGTAGAATTGAACCTGTGCAATGCCTTTTAAAAGAAAGGTTTGTAGCTCTGAAGTTGAAATTTTACTATCCCATAGAAGTCTTCAGAATCTTTGTTGTCCATCATTTAAACATTACATGAAATATTTGGATGATTTGTTAGACAGTATTCTCAAATTTGTTGTTGTTGAGATGTGCTGATTGCATTAGGAGAAAAGAATCCTTTCACTAGTTTTTGTCTTTGTGACAGGATCAAAATGTGGAATATTAGTTTCAGTGTTGAGTGAGGACTGGAAAGTTATACAGTTTTGGTTTAGTTATTTTAATAGCTGTCTTGAGTGAGAAATGTGTTGTTGCAAGAAAAAATAAAACTTAGGTTTGTTGATAAAGCCCTCAAGCTTTAAAATATATATTAAAAAAGCAAATGATGTTTTTGATTTTAGCTATAAATTTATAATTTAAGAGCAAGAAAATTGTAACTTTTTTATAATGGGCATGTATCCATTGGAGTAATGGGGGGCAGACCCATACTAGAGCTCCCCCCCCCCCCCGATTCCTCTCCATCTGAGTTAACAATAATTAATCTTTTAAGTTTTTTAAGTTCTCCCTATATTGTGACTCCCACTGACATGAAAGTGTCAATTTTTACGAACATGTGGGATAGTCACATTATGTAAGTTTAAGTGAAAGAAATATATCCAATCAGATGAGATTTAGAGTTAATGGCAGCTTGAAACAGCGTCAAACTGTTACAAATCTGTAAAATTTTGGCTTTTTTGATAATACAAAAGATTAGACACTTATTGAAGGTAAAAAAGAGCCTATTTGTTTTGTATTTAATAATGCATGATACACTTTTGTTACCCAATTATCTCTTTGCCCCTTTCTGACCCTACAAATAAAAGATCCTAGAAAAATACCACATTTGAGATATTATGTGTGCTTTTGGTCTTCTTACTTTAGATAGAATATCAGTAGGTTTACAGAATGTTTATACAGGCTATTGAAATAATGCTTAATTAAAAAATCTGTCATAATAAACAAGGCTTTAAGTATGTTTTGAAGGATTAGAGATGGCATGATTTAGGTCTTCAGAATTGTGAAAAGTTTGGAGTTTCCTGTCACCTACAGTTCCATCAAATCATAGAATGATTGCCAATACTTTACAGATTGAGTTAATGCTAATTGTCACAAGGTTACGTTAAATTACATTTACTTGAAATTTGAAATAATTGACGCTATGAATCCTTTATGGCTGTTTCCAGAGCTGTTTCATTGGTAAATGATGTGACATCATAAAAGGGTGGTATCAAGGCTTATATAAAAACTAAGCAGGAAAAAGACAAGGAGAAATTTTGAAAATCAAGAAATGGATCATATATTTTCAAGTAGAGATAGCTTCTTAGCAGAGCTAAAGCAATATTTTGGGATGAACAGAAAAATTCTAAAACACTTTACAGTTGCATTCATGAGTGCCAACAGAAAAATATGTTTGTAGGGGATTGGCAGTGCAAGTCAACAGAATAAAAGAATATGTTATGTATGCTTAAATGCAAACATAAATTTATAGTTTTAATACAAATTGCTAAAGATATTTAGTTTAACTATGATGTTAAGTTTACATCATAATTTGTGAAATGTAGGGGAGGGGGCAAATGCCCTTTCTTGTCCCTTCCTGCAGTGTTTACAAGCAATATACCAAGTAACTTCAGAGCTATGTAAAAATCAAGGTAGAACATATTTTTTCATTTTCTCCATGAATTACACTAAATAAATGCTATAAAATAAAATATTGATCTTAAAATATTTTTGAGTTAAAAAGTTGTTGAATTAGAGTCAGAATTAGTATTTTTAATTAAATTTTCAAAATTTGGGAACACATGAAATTGACTTAAAATTAGTGGCTCAACAAATTGAAAGTGGAAAAAACAACTCATTTGGGAAAAAAAAAATGATAAGCCAAAGCAAACCCCGAGTATTGTTTTTACATAATCCAAAGTAAAAACTAGAGGTGGAATTAATTGAGTTATAGTTTGCACAATACATGTATATGTAGTGAAGAATCTTTCATAGAGTGCGTGAATTGATGCCCATGCCTTTTGTTTTAGTGCATCTAAAGTTGAAATAGCCCACACAAAACATGAGGAAATGGTTGTGTGACAAAATTTTTCAATACACACTAAAATCTAGAGGTTCAAGACCCAAATGTAAAGTCAGGGACCATATTTTTGTTCCTGACATACAGCTCACAAAAACATACAAGAATATAAAAAAATATCCCCTGAGTCTGTCTATAGTGTGTTTAGACTGATTCTCCACTGTAGTTGGTCAAGGGCTCGCATGGTCAAGTGGTTAGGGCGCTCGAATCACAATCTGAGGTTCGTGGGTTCGAATCCCCATCACACCAAACATGCTCGCCCTTTCAGCCGTGGGGGTGTTATAATGTGATGGGCAATCCCACTATTCAATGGTAAAAGAGTAGCCCAAGAGTTGGTGGGGGGGTGATGATTAGCTGCCTTCCCATTAGTTTTACACTGTTAAATTAGGGACAGCTAGTGCAGATAGCCCTCGTGTAGCTTTGCACGAAATTTGAAACAAACAAACAAATGTAGTTGGTCAAACTTTAACACTACCTTTAGCTTACCTGCAGTTTACAACTGGTCTAGCAGAAATGAATTAATCATCACGTGCCAGTTCTAAGGTAGTTGAGGAGGATAGTAACAGTAATACATGCTTTTAAAAGGCTACATGGTGTAATTTCTGCTAAAACTACTGTTTATCTGTGCTTCTCAACATATTCTCACTGCATTTTATAGGCTTTAGATGGGCTGACAAAATCTAAAATTTGGAGCTATTTATGGAGTTCATTAAAAACTCAAATTTTCTAAAATGTACCTGTGATTAACCACAAACTTCCTCTGTTTTGGTCTCTGGGCCCTCATCCTCTTGCACTTGCTATAAATGCTTACAGTCAGGATTGAACCAACAAATATCTATTTGTTTATCCTCCCATTCAATTCCTCCACTGGGTGATTTTGATCATCCATATCACTCTATGTCAGGTCCTTCTGGTTGCTCCTTATTTGCTGGCTCAGCCATGGTTTCCTTGATTTATCCAGCTCTAACTTACCCCTCTACTTTCTCTGTCTCCCTCCCTTATTTGGCAACCTTAATCGTCGATGCTTCATCCTGCTCTTCCTGTTCTGCATACTCACATGTGGTTTTTATCTTGTCCTTGGCGAGATTGGGATTGTTCTGACGTGTAGCTTTGTTTCTGGCCCATTCCATCCACCCTTCCTCCATTGAAGTTTATCAGCTTAAATGGAACATTTTCTGCTGTTGGTCTGTAGGCCAGGAGTTTTCAGCTGATTGGTCCGCTGTTCCTCATATTGTGGAATTTCTTACTTGGCTTCTTAAACAGCTATTCTTTGCCTCCTTTATTTCCAGTTATTGAGCAGCTTTATCCCACAGCTACTGATTTTCCTGACACCATATGGTTTTCACCTGTCCTACACTCTCTCTGTTGATCCGTTCTTTCGGATTCATTGTCCTCTGTGGCAGGCTGCCCTTCTGGACTGGGATGTTAATGTGGCCCTCCTTGCCTCCATTTGAACTACTTTCCACATGCTCCTTGTTTCACCTTTCTCTTAAGACTTATTTCCTCTCCTATTAGCCTGTGGACATTGATGGTCTAATTTATTTGCCTTTGATGTTTCACATATTCTTTGTCATCCTACATATCTTCTCTTTTATCTGGATTGTTCTTTCCTCCCTAAAATCTTGGCTAGGGGGTATCTCCTCCTTTTCACCAATTTCCCCTCCATTTTCCACCTTTATCCTCAACCTGATTTGGATAGACTTCTATGTCCTGTATATGCTCTTCAATGTTATATTGCCTGCACAGCTTCAATCCATGGTGCCTGTTCTGTCCTCCTTATCCCTTGGCAACCATCCTCTGTTTGTGATCTTTCTCCTTCCACCCTCACCAGATGGGTTCGACTTTTGATTTAATTGGCTTGTTCCTCTCTTTCATTGTCTTCCCATATTTTGTTCCATGTGTCTTCTCATCAAATCTGACACATTACCTTTTTTCTGGCATCTCATCTTTGTCATCTGTTAGAGGAAATTCTTCAGTTGGACATGTGGACTAATCTAATACGTTTGTCTCTTATTATTTCCATATGGTCCCCATTTCTTCCTCTTCGGGATATCGTCTTCCACCTGTAGCCATTCTTCAGACTTCCGTGCGACTATAAGACTGAGTAACTTATATTTATTCTTTTTAAAATTTTTCAGGGGCTTTATTTCCCATTTCATCATAATTCTCATTGTTTAGATCCTGCTCTGTGGCAAATGTTGCCTGACCAGGTATTCTTTAACATTTAAATTCTGCACTGGTCAGCCATGTAAACTGGGGTGATGGACTGTGGAGGCTTCCTCCTGAATGGTGCAAGGACATAAAATTTCAATACAGAAATACCATTTAGTGCAGAGTAGGGTGGTGGTGTTCTGCTGGTGTAGATGACATGATATCCTCTGCTATAAAGCATATGTAAGCCAAAGGAGTGAGATGTCAAATTGCAGTTCACCCCTTCGATTGAGATCTCTCATCCTACCCCCATGTGGATGTTAGTTTCCACTGGCTGGGTTTTGGATTTAGACTAGAACCAATCAACATAAATTTCTGTTGTGGGTCAAGGTGGAGGTACTTTGATTCTGGATGTGTTCCACATATCGATATATCATTTTCTATTCTTAACATGTGTTCTTTTCTGGAATAAGGGCAGTTTGAGATCCCTTCCGGTCTCTTGAATTTGAGGCGAAGATGGTATGATCCTCATCGTACTTCAATGTGGATGTCGGTTCCCAGCAGCATGGGTTTTGGATGTAGTTGTCTTGCTGAGTACAGTCTGTCATGCCCTAGCCACTCTACACCTGGGGGCAATTCCATTTTTTTTTTCCCACACCAATTGGATGTGCTCCTCTGTTTTCCACCCATATATACAACACTTGTCAGATGGACGAGAAGTATACCTGGTTTAGAAGTAGTGTAGTCTCCCACATCAGATCTTTGAATCTGATTCTCTAATCTCAAGGTGCATCCTCTGGACACTTTTGAAGGATGCTTCTTTTCTTTCCTTGCACTGGTCCCTCCACCTATTCAATGTGGGATTCTAGCTAATTATATGAATGGAGGTAATGTACTGTAT